AGGCAGAACAGGACTTCTACAGCTTTAAAAGAATAGCACCATTTAAGCCTCATGACACAGAAGCACTGGCAATGCCTCATTATCCACAAAGGAATCAAGATGTTCATTTCCATGAAATTTATGTACATATAAGTGAAGTTCCTGGGGCACAACTCAAAAGATGACAAACTAGTAAAAACAGTGAGAGAGAACCTTCACTTCTTATCAGGACTGAGATACTGACCTTTTCAACATGCTACAAAGGAGTTTGCTGTTTACACCTGAAGTCATTGTCAAGTCCTGGGACAATTTAGACTGGGGCAAAAACTTAAAATGGGTAGAAGGGACACACAACTATAAGAGCCAAACTGCACTTTGCAGTTAAAGATTCAGAAATGGATGAATTTCCCAAGCTCTAACAAGTGAGCCTGGTTCTGCATGAGTTTTCAGAAGTTTCCTCATTATTATTATTATTATTATTATTACTACTACAGAATCACAGAATCACAGAATTTCTAGGTTGGAAGAGACCTTTAAGATCATCGAGTCCAACTCATGTTCTAACACCTCAACTAGATCATGGCACCAAGTGCCACATCCAGTCTTTTTTTAAACACATCGAGGGATAGTGACTCCACCACCTCCCTGGGAAGATGATTCCAGTATTTGACCCCTCTTTCTGTGAAAAACTTCCTCCTTAATTCTAGCCTGTAACTCCCTTGGGGCAGCTTGAGACTGCCTGGCTGAAGAATTTCAGGAAGATAATATGCTCTTCTTGAAAACTGACTGGAGTTATATTTCAGATGCGTTATTAAGCTCTTTACATTGTGTGTACTAGGTAATGTATAGACTGATAGAGACTGTAGTTTCCAGTGCAATGAGCACACTAAAGCAGAATATATATACACATATATGTATGTAAGTGGGTTTCTTATCAATGACGTGAGTTTGTCCACTGGAAGCAAGCTAGTTTATGATATTTCCTTTCCTATGTAACTGTTTTTTCCAGTTTTCTGCTGTAGCCCAGCAGAGCCAGGAAGGAGCAGGCGGACACTGTCTGCCATGGGAGCTGATCTGGCTGAGTGCTGTGGAAAGGGTGACAGGCCCCAGCTCACCTGCAGTCACTCAGCAGACTTCCTCCTGGTCCCAGCAGGGCTCTCTGTACTTCAGCCATGCACACAGGACAGCTCGTTCTTTTCTTCCTCTAATAGCTGTGGCACTTCATGGCCACACAATCTGTGAGCCATAAATGTTTCTCCAAGGCACCAGTTAGGTATTTTCAGCCTCCCTCTTATGTTGGATTCCACAATATATACCTTTGGACCTGTCTCCCAGCCTTACAGTTATTTTCATTTAGTGCAAGCCTGTGCTTGCTCTGCACAGAGCTGCCAGCATTAAAGTCATTCCCCAAGAAAGCCCAGCAGCTTTGACTACATGACAAAGTGTCTCTGGGCTTTAGACTGATTCTTTTTGTAACCTCTCTGATAACCCGAAATCCAGGGATCCACAACCAGTGGAACCTTTATCCATGAATCCATGCAGAATGGATTCATCTCACTTTGTCTTAAACTGGTGGAAAAAGACAGACGCCTCTGAGATGCAACTCATCCCATTTATTTTAGGCACCAGAGAGAAGTCTTTCTCCACTGAGTTGAGAGGAAATATCAGTGGCTATCTTGGATTACCTCTATTCCTTTAGGCTTTGTGAAGGCTGGATGAGAGGTACCCCACCCTAGGCTATACTTAGCAGCTGCAAGGTTATGGATAGGAAGTTCTCAGCTCCAAAACATAACAACTATTTTTCACCTTTTTTGCCCTGCTGGACCTGTTGCTTTACAGACTTGAGGCAGAATAATCATAAACACTTTAATTAGCTGTTCACACCTAAACCACTATTCCTAGCAATGATATTTCAACAAGGAGATCCTTGTCCTCCTGCATGCATGTCTTCCCTCCCTAGATACTAGAATTAAAAATGTAACTTTCTTGTCTTGATCAGTGAAGATCACCTCTGTGTGCAGGTCAGCCCTTGTTTTCACTTGCTCCCACATTTATTTAAGAGTTTTGTTTGGGAACCAGCAGATGAAATTATTTGGTGCTCTTCACATTATATTTAGGTTCAGTTTGGGTGCTACTATGGTTAAACATCAGTTATGCCACCTATTTAGATGGATAAATGACATCAAGATCACATACACTGAAAACTAGAAAATAGTTGTTAACTCAATTTGTGTTTCCTGAAAACAACTTCTGCACAAGAAGCCTCTGTATTGGATCCTAATTCATGCCAGGACCATGGTACACCAATCTTTTCCTCTCTGTAAGTGTGCCTCTGAGGTTGTTGCAGACAGACTAGCTCTCTGGAAAATGCTATAAACCCATACAATCCCAGGAACGAGGTGACCTTGTCCTCATTACATCCATAATTTTTCCAAAGAGAAACTTGGTTGTGCAGAGCCCTGAATCCTTGATGTTCCCTGTACTTTTCAGGTCTGGGAAAGTGCTGCCATCCCCAAAGAGACATATCTCACATCTCTCTTCCCACTCAATTCATTCACCAGCATTTTGGTTTATTTGTTTACCATTTTTCCACATAACATTTTCAAAATCCAGATAAACCATGTTGCCCTTGTGTATAATGATGCAAATCAGTGTAAAGCATTTACATTATGTAGGTCACTTGTTCAAATCTATCTATGTAAAATATTTACACTGTGTAGTTCACCTGAAGACATCTACTTATGAGGAAAGCCTTCAGAATATTATGCTAGTAGTTAGAGAAGCAAATATCACTTCATAAAAGAAAAGGCTTTGTTTCTTTCCTTTCTTTTTGTATTCAAGATGCCACTGAGTATGTAACAGCAATTCTCTAAATACCTAATTTTTATCTTATATCCATATTTTTTCTCCTCCTCTGGTTTTGAAGAAGGATCTGAGGTATTTAACTTTCTTATGGCATCAGTGCTCTGTATACCAAAAGTTCTGGGTTTTTCCAGTACTCTGTGAAATCCAGCCCTGCACCTACAGCCAGGTATGTGATCACATTACTCTTGGAGGATACAGATGGAAAGGAAGAGCAAATCACATGTTTAAACATTACACTTATTGACAAACCTAATTTATTCTCTAGGTACAGACTAGCAATTGCTTGAAAATAATTGAAAATTTTCAATGTTCCCTCCAACATTGGTCTGTTCATCCACAACTTTCTCCCTTCAAAGAACAGATATCCAAGGGGACTGACTCTTCTCCACACTTGCATCCACCTTTTTTCCATCTGCCCATAAAACACTTGTGGTCCTCATCAGCTTTCATATTCTGCACTTGGAAGCAGTGAGTCCTGTGGTGTTCTCTGGATGCCCTTGACCTAGACTGCGTGAGAACTCTAATCTCTGTGCCTGTATCTTCACAACAAGCATTTAGAGTATTTAAAGGGAGGTTTTGGTTGGAATCTCATTACATATGAGTCTTCCTGTTAATAGAGTGAAGATTTCTTAACTCAAGCCACATCCTACTCTTCAAAATCCTTCCAGATATTTATTGGGCCAAGCTCAGAGCCAACTAGAAGTGGTGATGGAAAGCAGGTCATGGTCTGTATAAGGTCATGGTCTGTCCCAGATGGATGTGAGCCATTCACTTCTCTAGTGTGTTAAAATTTGGTTTTTGGAGTCAAAGTTTTTCCTGATTTTATTTTCTACAGAGTTTGAAAATCCTCTGGGATGATTTACATGAACAAAAAGCTTTATCTTTGGTGCCTGTGAGAGATGTTGGTATTATTTTAGTATTGGGAGAGGGAGAGGTGTTGGTGCAGTTATGGATCTGTACTAATCTAAGCCTTAATGCAGGTTCTCTTCCTTCCTATACAGATGAAGATAATACACATTATACATCATGTAATGATTTCTCAGCTGTCATGAGTGGTATCTCTTTGAAAAGGAAGAGATGAAGTAACCAAATAATTTTACTCATTCTGACCCTCAAAGTACAGCATGGTCACTGATTATTTATTGCTCCCTTATGATTTATGTCAAGACTAGAATCCAGCTAGGTTAACCCAACAGGCAGTGTTTTGCATCCTGTGTTACCAATTTGCATACTGCAATTTAAAGGACACAATCTGAAGCTACACCAGACTGGTCACAAAAGGGCTGGAGGAACAAAAGTGTGAGACTGTTCATTATTACTGGCAATCTGTCCAGTCACTTCCAGGCATAAAACTTTTTATTAGCCAAATCACTCTCAAAACATTGAAGCATCCCTCCAATTCTTTCTTTGGCAAAGATGACAACATGTTACAGCCGCTTATGAATCTCTAGCTACAACATATTGGTAGATAAAACAGAACTGAATTCTTCTGTGTACAGTTATCTTTTATATAGATGGAGTTATCTCTGGGGGAGGGATATTCTGACAGTCTATTTAAGCAATGTGTAATCCAAATGGTGAAAAAAATTAGTTTTTCTGTGGAGAAGTTCATAGATATACAGTTGCCATGACAACTGCATTTGGCTCTGAAAAGGGAAAACAAATGTCTCTTTTTAGACTCAAGTGAAATAAATTTAATCTGGTTGCATAGAAAAATTGCTTTTTCTCTCTAGTGTCAAATAGTCCTTCTGTAGCAAGTTTCCTTAGCTTCCCTTTTTTAGATTTTAGGGGTTTCTTTTCCTTTTAAAAACAAAAAAACCCCAGTACATTTGTTGGAATTTCAAAGGGTGAGAGCACCTCCCTCTCCCTACCCTTCCCATTTCCACAACATGATTTTGTGTTCCAAAATTCTACAGATTGCACCCTAGTTACAAAATAATAGAACCAGATTTCCTGCATCTAAGCAGCATAAAAATGCAAACTTATATTCTTAACTTCATCAGATCACAGAAGATTGGGAAAAGTGGGAAAGAGCTGTTATTATTGGTCTGTTGGGAATACAGTATATCAGGTCTGAAGTGCTCGCTGTGTCTGATGTGAAAGATAGCCAGGATGATTTTTTTTTTCTGTTGGTAGTTGGAGAACCCAAGTGAATTTTAAACCTTTGGTATTGTATATCCTTTATCAGCTCTACTCTTCCAGCACTTGTGCATGCACATCCCTCCCACGATCAAGCAGGCCAGAGCAACAGGAATCATTGCAATGTACCAGGACAGACCAGCAGCTGGAAAAGTAAACAAATTAAATATTAGAAAACCTGGAAGAAACAACTAACTCCCAGGAACATATTTCTCTAAGCTCAAGTTGGAAGAGGAGAAATGACAATAAAAAGGATGTCTGCAAGTTAACCTTCCAGCAGGGCTTATCACCTTTGAAAGGAAGAGATCTATTGATTGAGCACTCTGGGAAATGTGCTCATGAAAATAGGAGGAAGAATTGGAAAACAACAGAGAGTGAGAATTTAAAGTTCAATCTTTTGCATACACCCCATTTTCTTAACCTCTGATCAGGAACCACTGTGCGCTTTCTATCTTGGCTTATTTAAAGAAGAGACACTCCAAACAGGAAATCCAAGCACCTTGTGGAACATGAATACTTAAAAATTAGTCCACCCTCAAGTTGTGTGAATAATTTTTTCATACAAAGTAGCTTATAAATTAGTAACAATTGACCCAAGGCTCAGAATTGCTTCCTAAATCTGGCTAATTTCCAAGGCAAGTGTCTGTCCAGGCCATTCTGGATTATTCCAATGCATATTGCCTCCTGGTGCAGCTCATGGAAGACAAGGGCAGCACATGATCCAGCAAAATGAGTACAAATCCCTCATCATAGGGTGCTGGAGTGAGTCATGACTGATAATGAAGTCTGAAGGAGTTCATGTGCCTTTCTAAGAGAGTGTGAGCAAGCTTTGGTGATTCACCAACGTCATGCAAAGAAACAATTAGCATTGCTTCACATTGTTTGTACAGCTGGCTCTTGGCCAATGGTTTATCACACTGCAACATTAATTGTGCTGAGTTTAGGTCTTCTCTTCCCATCACTGAGAGCCAAAGTAACAACGCCCATCATAATTTACACTTCTTCTTTTTTTGGCAGTAGTCTGTGCATGAGGAAAAGTAACACTCTAATCATTTATTCTGTTATTGTCCTTTTTTTTCCCCTACTTGTTGAGGAACTGGAGGAGATTTGGCTCTGCTGCAAACAGAGTTTGCCAGTAGTCTCACTGGAACACTTATTTCACAAAGTGTATCTAAATTGGAGTCTTATTCAATAAAGAATAAGACAGCACAGACAGATCCTTATCCCTGCATAAAATGTCAGTACATGACCTACAGAAGGTGCATTTTGTGAACGGGCTGTATCAAAGACTACAGGTGAAAGAGGCAACCAGATTTTCCCCAGGCAGTAACTTATCCCAACACTGGCTCTCACAGTATAAACAGATCAGATGCTAATTTAGCATTAGAATAATATTAAAAATTATCAAAAATAAGCAGTAAAAATAACTACCTTCCTGCTTGACCCTTGTTGGCAGTTCTTGGTATCCATATCTGTTCTGGGCCAGACAGGTAAAGTCTGTGTAAAAGTCCACTTCTTCAACAGAATCAAAAATCAGTGGTACTTCAATGAAGTTTTCACCATTTTCTACAATTTCTCTGGAAGAATAATAAAGATTAAGTGTTAATTATTTTAATAAGATGGTTATTTTCTATTTGATCTGTTCATTCTAACAGCACATTGCAAGAAAATGCATTGGATATTGCTCCATTTCTGAACCAGCCTCTCAGCATTCGAGGATGCCTGTTGTCTTCAGCCCAGTTGTGCTACTTGAGTCCCAGTGGGCAGTGCCTATCTTGCAGCTTTTGGAGTCTAGAGGGAAAAACATACCTGGATTTGTCTTGCAAAAATAAAGAAAGGGGAGGGGGAAAAGGCAAGTGGAATTCTGTGTATCTTTGATACATTAGCATTGGGCAAGGACCTAATTCCTTCTCTCTGACCACCTAAGGTTAATTCTTACAATCAGGAGAATATAACACTGCAAATGTTCTCTGAGAAAACTGAACCACCATTCCTGTCTATCATGTGCTCAAAGCCAATAGCTCAATACAAGAAACTGCCCAAGAAGTTTCCAGCTAATTTCAACGTGATTATTTTAGGAGTCCCACTATTTGAAATTGAAAGTGTTTTTTTAGCTGGAGTCAAACATTGTCCCTTGATACCTTTTAGCCATTACCAGAGCAGTTGTCCATTATAAGCCTGCAATGCACAGCAGCAATGGAATTCCCTGGGCACTCCTCCCAGGAGCTCTTTGCCAGAGATTTCTGCAGGGAATTTGTTTTCCCAGGGGCATTTGAGCTGTTTTGTCATGCTGCCATAATGAGGGCTTCCAGCAGACCTGGGGTGTCTCACACACTGTGGGTCCTGCAGGAACCTCATCTGTCACTGTCAGTGTCCTTGTGCAATTGCATGACAATATACAACAGCAATAATGATAGTGGTAAGCATAAAAAAAATAATTTTTAAAGTCCAAGTGAGAAAGTTCTGCTCTATTCTAAAGCCTGCAGAGACTATAGCTGCAGCACATTTTTATGGTTCCTGGCATTTTCACTTATACATACAAACAAGATTATAGATTAATTTCCCCAGTCATGCTGTGGGGAATGGGAAAACACCTAAAGGCTTGGGCATACAGCCCAAGGAACCTTCTGGGCTCTGTCCCCCAGTACAGGCAGAGCCACCAGGCAAGGGTAATGATCTTTTTGGACACTCTGAGCTACATGAAACAAGAAACAAGACAAGCTGACTTGGTTCTCAATGAAGAGATTTCAGTCAGAAAGTTCAGCTCACATTTACAAAACCACTAGAGGTGTGCCTGGAGATAGTGAGTTACTCAGGTAACACATCACAGGTACAGAAAGCAGGTATCCCTCCCTTTCCTAGTGGTAAAAGCCTTGAGGTACGAGGCAGCTGAAAGACTGGGACTGAGGAGCTGAAAGCTCCTCAAGACTGGGAGACACAATGAATCAGGGCAAGAAGATGTGGAACATCCTGTTTCTCCCTCCCACCAGTATTCCCTTCAGTGCTAGCCTAGCATCTGTTCTAGCACTCAGCGGGTGTGTGTGTGAGTCAGTTTAATTCACTAATGTGGAAAAGAACAAGCTTAGGGAGAAAAACAGTGCTATTTAGAAAACAAAACAAAAACCATCAAACCACTAGGTAATTTCCTGTTGTCTTAGTGTATTTTGAGAACCTCATGAATGTGAGGGAGAGAATGTTGCCACTTTGCTGGCATGGGGTAAGGAGAGAGGTAAGAGAAGCACTGGGAAGGATCAAGTCTCCTTGCTTTCCACTGCAGTCAGTCCTTACAACAGCTCAGTTGCTCATGAAAATGTGCTTAAAGTTTGTCTCAAAGTTGCCTCATTTGCAAAACATCTTGTCACAAAAAACAGAGATAAAGCATTTATTTCACTGACTGGGTGGGGCTTGGGGGTTTTTGCTTGCCTGCCCATTTTTTTCCTCAGCTCTCACCTTCACTTCAGATCTGTCCATTTCCTATTTCATTACCTGGCGTTCAGGTGCACTGAGAGCCCCTGTAGCACTGCAGGTTAGAACAGTAAGCACAAGGAAGCACTGTCAGCCAGACTTACTGTCGTTCCCCCTCTGTAACTCTGCTTTGTTTGTAAACCACGTCAACACTGCTGTCATTTGCCAGCCATTCCACATCAGTTTGGAAATGGCTGCTCAGCCCAACAAACACTTTGCATGGCAGAGTCATCTTGGAGCCTGTCAAAAAAAAAAAAGATTGAAAAACAGTTTAGACACATATGAAGAACAACTCTTTCTTTTGGTGAAAACCAACAACTCCAGTGGGAGATCCCATACACGTCAAGAACTACTTTCAAAACTGAAGTTAATCTCCAGATTGCTTTTCATCCTGTACTCCTTGGCAGCAAGACCCTTCAGTGTGGCAGTCCTTCCTGCTGTTAACCAAATCATTTCCCTATTGCAACACTTACCAACTCTGGCACTAAACACATTCCCAGAGGCAAGGCTGCGTCCCTGTGGCCTTGCCCTCTCTGCCACAGTGCAGCCCAAAGGGCACTGTGTGATTTACCCCTCTGGAGCAGCTGCATTAACCAGCAGCACAGCTTCACTCACAGATGCTGTGGGTGAGGATATTCAGCTGAAGGTTGGACCTCCAGGGATAAAGTGATTTTGCAGAAGTTCTGAAATTTTTAATTGCTATAATTACTGTAACTCAAGGATAAAGAGATTTCAGACTGATGTGTATCTATATTATACAGAAGTATAGCTATATACACAGAAGACAGCATCTGGTTGTAGATGTTAAAAAGCTAAGAATACTCTAGAACCAACCTTCAACTAATATAATTGAAATCAAAAACCTACAGCAATTTATGCCAACAAATAACACCATAAGAGGACCTGCTCTAGTTTTTCTCTGACTAAACGTTTCCAAATATGATGTTGGGCCTTACCAAGAGCAGCTGATGTTGTCTTTTGGGCTGGATACACAATTATCGGGGTAATTCTCTTCTCTTGTTCTTGGCAGAAAAAGAAAGCAGAGTCAGTGCTAAGACAAAAGAAAATGCGGGTATGGCCCCAGAACCAGAAACATGCCGTTTCACCCAACATCTGTCGCCTCCCAGGAAAGGATTTGATTGCTAAAGCCGCTGGCAAGCAGCGACATTGCCGCTCCGACCCGGAGCCCCGCGGCTGCGGGCCCGGGCAGGGTCCCCCGAGCCTCAGGGACAGCGGGAGGCCTGCGCGGCACGGGCGCCCCCTGCCGGCCGCTCTGCGCAGCAGCGCCCCGGGCCCGCTGCCGTCCCCGCGCTGTGACACACGGCCTGTCCCCTCGCTGTGGCACAGCGGCCTGTCCCCCTCTGTGACACACGGCCTGTCCCCTCGCTGTGGCACAGCGGCCTGTCCCCGTCTGTGACACACGGCCTGTCCCCTCGCTGTGGCACAGTGACCTGTCCCCGCCCTGGGACGCCGCCAAATGGCTGATCTCCGAGCTTCCCCGAAGGCCTCGGCAGTGATAACCCCCTCCTGCCCCAAGACATCAATTATTCCGTTTAACAAACACGGGTACTTGCAGGAGAGATCCCCGCCCTGCCAGGGGTGCTGTGGGAGCCCCTTCAGGACCAGGACAAGCCCTGCCTTGGCACGGATGAAGGCTGAGCATGAGCTCCTCTCAAGAGTTTCATTAGCAAAGAAGAGGTTTTCTTATGTGCTGTAATGTTTCAGCATGTCCATTATTGAATCATATAACCACAGAATCTTTTAGGTTAGAAGGAACCTTAAATGTCCCTAAAACCTTTCCTAAAAGTTTCCTAGGACTGCTAGTTCCAACCCTCTTGCCATGGGCATGGACACTTTCCACTGGGCCAGGTTGCTCAAATCCCCATCAAACCTGGCCTTGAACACTTCCAGGGTGGGGGGTAGAGGCATCCACAATTTCTCTGGGCAACGTGTGCCAGTGCACCACTACCCCTTGTCCTGTCACTTCATTCTCTTGTAAGAAGCCCCTCTCCATTTTTCTTACAAGTCCCCTTCAGGTACTGGTAGGCCACAATTCAGTCATACTGAAGCCTTCTCTTTTCCCTGCTGAATAAATCAAATTCTTTCAGTCTTTCCTTGTAGAAGAGGTGCTCCATCCCTCTGATCATCTGGTACTATACTTACCAACAGTCTCTAGTTGAATTGTCCTGGTGATTTCATACATCACACCTTCAAATGGAAATGACATCTGGCAGGTATAATACCCCGTGTCTGTTGGTAGCACAGATGTCATGATCAGAGATGCTGAACCATTCAGAATGATGAATCTTTCATTGTCCTCTTCCAAAGGCTGAGCATCCTGGAGAAAGGACAGTAACTGGTGTTATGACTCAGATAGCTACACCCTAATTATCTATTGAGAGAGACAAATTATCTCTGTCTCTCTGTTATTAGAAGCTCACTTATTGCTGGGAAATCTGAGCAGTTCTGCTTTCCCACCAAAGCACAAGTTCTTTTAATGTGTATCCATCTCTAAAACGCCTTGTGGCACTATATGTGTGAAGTGTGAAGAATTGCTATTTTAATCTATCTATAATGTGTGTGCATAGCTCTTCCTTAGTGCACATTTTAAGATGAAAAACATATAATAGGCTCTTCCTTGAGTCATCTTAAGAGCAATCACACAAGATTTTAGTACCCATGGAGGTTTTCACAATGTTATCCATGCACATCCATGTGTATGTATCCATACTTTCCATACATGACCACAGAAGAGTAATATTCTAAGGCCTTCTTTGAAGACAAATACATAACTGGTACTTACCCTATATTAGAAATTCCTGCTCTGTATCCCTAAAGCTCTGTTCATATATGGTCTGAAGACCTGCTAGTAGAAACCATGTTCTCCCTCATGAAGGCAGGGTAGCTCTTTCTTACATTTGTAACAAGAACCGTATTGAGGGGGGCAGCCTCTCACTTAGATAAAGTGGGTTATGTTCCCACTTCTGAAGGAAGTCCTGAGCACCAGCATTTTGCTGGTATAGTACAGATCATAACCTAGGCACTGCAAGCAGCCTATATATTGCATCCTATGGTAAGGCTACATCTGCACAAGGCAGAGCATGTGATCACAGTGGGAGTGTAAATAAAAGCTAAACCAAGGTATTATGGAAATGCAAGAAGAATCTCCTGCTCTCCAGTGTGAAATTGAACAACCAAGGATGTTGTATTTGATCTTAGAGGCAAAACCAGGCTTGCCTACTTGAAAAGCAGCAAACTGGGCAGTTAGGCAAGAGAACACTCCAAGCATTGTCATTCATCCAGTATTTCTAAATGGTGCACTCCAGTTGATTAATGAAAGCTACCCCACCTGAACACGGAGGCAGTATCCCTGGGAGGTCCTACTTTATGGGATTCACTAGAGGGGCCGTGAAAAGATGCGCAGTGCCAAAGAGAAGGGCCTGATATCAGGTGGCAAACCCTGGAGTTGGGTAAATAATCTAGCCTTATAAACAGTTGCATTGCCTGTGAGAGCTTGAAACATGTGAAACACTTCACCCTGTGCTGAGTGTGCCCCAGAAAACTTTTCTTAAAATGTATACATCTGCCCCAAAATTCCCAGTATGTTACACTATGCTAGTTACTTAAGCAACATGATATTCAGGAGAAATGTAAGGTCAATATTTATGTGCCAAGCTGGGATGAGGTTATGCACAAAGAGGAAGTAAATATTCTACCTTGTACCACTTGAGCTCCAGGCTTGTCCTATTTGGTGTAAAATCCCACAGATCAGGACAAACAATCTTTCCAGTGGTGAAAGTGAAGAGGACCTGGGGATAGGCAATCTCCCAAGCAGCTGTTTTCTCCACAACTGTAAGGTGGATGGAGACCTCAGCACAGTAGGAGTTGTTCCTGGTGACAGAGCAGGGAGAGGTGAGCCCCCAAGAGAACTCAAATGACGCCCTTAGTTTCCTCCATTTCCCTCCTTAACAGAGGCCAAAACTGAGATCACACCAGGCTGGATGTTGGAAAATCACTGGTAGTGTTCTTTTGGCACAATCAAAACGTGTTGCTGACACATATCTGCCTCAGGCCTTCAGTCTTTTCTTTTTAGTACAAGTTTCCTGTGCACCTTTAGGCTGCAGCAGGATTTTAACTGTGTGAGGAGGAGGAACATGTTAACCTGAACAGCAGGAGGTGTGTCATGAACCCTCCCCCATTTCCTTGGAAGAGGTTTTGACTGTAAAAACCCTAATGATTATATAAAAACCTTAAAGCATGTACTGCAATACATCTGCAGTTACTATTGCACAACCATAGTTATTTCTGTAAGTACATATAATTTTCTGTAGCAAATAAGGCGTTCTGGCTTTGAAAGGTTCACAAAATTCAACTTTTCTTTCTGGCCCCAAGTGACAATCACTTCCAGTCCTAAGGAAGACCACACTGGGACAGACAGATGCTTCAATTCCACCCTTTACAATCTCTGGAAGCCTGCTTCAGAGATGCCTTTACTCAGGGCAGTGCATGATCCTGGAAGGGGCCAGCGAAGCCAGGGAGACTGGGCTGCCACCTCCAGGAGAGCAGCTGTGGGCTGCAAGCAGACAGACTGACAGTATTGCCAGGGCACTGTGGCCATCTGTCATATACAGGCCAGATGCCCAAATCCAGAATATTTGCTCCACAGAACACAGAAGCAGAGTGCCCAAATCCAGAATATTTGCTCCACAGAACACAGAAGCAGAGATCTGTGATAGTTTGCTGCTACCTTCAAAGATAAAAAGATCTGCTGGCTTCCCTGCAGGGTAATTTGTAAAGGAAATGTAACTTGCTTGTGCTTTATTAATCCTGTAATAATGTTAGCAATGAAGTTACCTACTTGGCTCTTGCATCTCTTTTTAAACAAATTTCACAGCATTTTGCTAGATCCCTCAGTAACACTGCTATAGTGTTATATATTGACAAAGTGAGCCAGAATAGCCCAAAAAGGGGGTTTAAAAGCACTCTTGAACATCTCAGGCAACTACTCTGTTCTAGAACAGTATTTGCAACCTTTTGCTGTTTGGGCTTCACTATCAGTGTCTTTTTTTGTGCTCCACAGCTGAAATTGCTGCTGAGACTTGGGAAAGGCCAACCCAACATGCTGAGCATGATTTCTCAACTTGTCAACTTTCTCTTCTACTGCTGACTCGCATTCCTCACAAGGTGTGCTGTGCAAGCAAGGAGACCATGCTATCCACAAGCAGCTCCAGGAATGTAGAGATATGTTCTCCAGCATAAACCCCAGAGCCAAGTGCCAGAGGTTTACTGGCTGGCAGCACGAGATGGCAGGAGACAGGGACCTGGAACATCTTCAGAAGTTCAGGCTCTAAGGGTGATGGGATTTTTTGCCTTCCTTGATCCTCAACAAATCCAGACCCTCGCACCTCTTATGACATAGTACAGTGTGCTGTCAGATTGAAAACACTCAGAAAAAAAATTACCAGTAGGGCTGAAAAGAGCCATGGCCAAAGTCTCAACTCACTGCAATACCACAAGTCTGGTACTAGCCTAGTAAATACACACTGGGTCTCATGAAAATTCTTGCAACAATATCAAGTCAATCAAATTCTGGTTTAAAACATGACTTGGAAAAAAAGTGAAGACCAGGGATATGGAAGTGGGAAGAGGAAAGCCACTGCAGAGCTATGATGCCTTATATACCCTTCATAAGGCAATCTGAGGTGCAACAAGGGTATTTGTGCTCAGCAAACCTGCTGCCTGCAGCATGTCCCACTTGTCATGGCACTGACTGGCTCAGAGATAACTAGGAAAAACTCTCTATACAATATTCTCCTATGAGATTGTAGTCAAAGTGGCAAGCCCGTGTCACCATTTTACCAGATTTCAGTACTGGTAGCTATAGGAGACACACAACGCGCTCTAAGGGCCCTGACTTCCCATATTTGTTCTCTCTAATAAGGTCAGCAAGGAAATTATCCAGAAATGCTCTGAATATAGGTGGAGTTTACAATCAAGGTAATGCATTTAGCAGACATAGCCATTTTTTAGTGAACTAGATTATCTTTTAAATACCTACCTTCTTGTGCAGATATATACTCCTGAGTCTTCTAGCCTCACTGGTAAAAACCAGAGTGCATTTCCTTTTGCCCAGATTCTTGAATCTTCATCTCTTTCTGATATCATGGTGTTCGAACCATTTTTATACCATGTGATATTAGGGGTCAAGGCAGAGAAATCCAAATGTTTGTATCTGGGGGAAGGGCATTTCAGAACCACAGGTTCTCCATGCAGTTCATAGTAGTGTTTGAAAAACACGGTGTGATCTGGGCAGTTTTCTATATAAATCAGAGATATTTTTGCATTACTGTCAGAGAGGAACATTTAAAAGAATGGTGAGGGAAACAGAAGGAAAAAGACAAATGTACACTTACCTGTGTTCTTGACTTGCTGGAGTCTGAAAGCAGATGCACCTACTGTGCACATCACCAGGACAAAGAACAGCCCATGCATTTTTTTCCACAAGAAATCAGAAGAAGAGGGTGGAAGGAAAATGTTTTGAAATCTACAAGGAAGTTTATTACAAGACATTATATAATCAAAATACTCAACATTATTTAAAGAATTAACTGCTATTTTTCTCACTCCAGACCTGGGGAGCTTTGGTCCATCCTCAGTGAGCAGAAAGGTGTCTCCATCCCTAGTTTATGGGGGCTGAACTGTGGAACCAGAACATCTGGCTTGGCACACACATACCACTTTTTGGCCCTTCCCTTTCACTCCAGAAGATGAGCACAGCATACCACAAGATGCTGCTGTCCCCACAGCTTTTTAGAGTGACATCTATGTGTGGAAAAATTTAGCTCTGCTTATTTTGCAGTAAGATGTGACTGAGGCACAGGTCAGCTGCTTTGAGTGAGCTGCAGTGTAGTAGCTTGGGTGGACACAGGGGCAAAGAAGGCCAGCTAGTGTGAATCAGGCTGCAGGAAGACTTTCTGCTACAAGCAGAGCCAAGCTTTCTTGTCTCCAACAAATATTTCTGTTGAGACTCTGAGAAAACTCTGATTTCTGAAAAAACATTGACTCCTATGGCACATATACTCATCTTGCTGGTGGTGCCCAAGTTTTCATCATGGACACTATTACCATCTGTTCTAAAAAAAAGATAAGGAAAACCCTGAACAAGCTGTCCTGAAAATCAGACAGGGTGGCTACTAAGGGAAAACAAAATTCTCCTCTGCCAGTCATTCATCAATTGTCATCTGTATGGACCTGACATGGGCATGGCAGTGTCTGTGTACATCACTGAATGCTTCTGCTCTGCCACGAGGCCGCAGCTCCTGCTGCTCTCTTGATTGATTATGCTTTACCTTGGTGTGCCATGGGCAAAAATATATAAAACATGCTGGATAGAGGCACTAGTTTATGCTCTGTATAAGGAATTTATAAGAAATACAGTACACATATCCACATGATACGTTACACTATTTCCATTTTATATACAGAAATGGAAATTGCATGCATTTAACATTACCTTAAAACTATGATGAATATTAAATGACTGTACAACTATTTGAAATCAAGACCAAAAGAAATATTTCTACCAATATAACAAAGCCATATTCATAGGTATACACCTTTGGACATCTTTTTGTATCCCTTCATGCTCATACTTCCATAGTTTTAATCCAAATTTCTTCCTGTTCTAGTAGTTGTACTTACCTGACATCTGATCATTTGACTACAATAAACTATTTCCAGATTATTGTCATCTGTACAACACCACAAAACCAACCTCTTGCTCAATAGCACTCTTTCATAACCATGGGTCATACTCTTAGGTCTGCCTGGGTTTCCAGGGAATTGGTATGGAGCTCTAGCCTCTCTCAGCTACACCTGAACCAGGTGCTAGAGGCATTAACAAACCCCACGGTTCACATCGATACCCTGTAGCGGGTGAGTTTCTCTCTTCAGATCCTGACAAAAATACTTGGTTATTCTGTTCAGAGCTGAGCCTTCTGGTCCCTTTGGTTTCTTAACTAACAATCTCCACAAGCCATTTGAGGGTTTAGGGAAGGTTTTCATTCCCAGATTTCAATCAGATTAACTTACCTGTGTTTCTGTAGTCTTTCAGCCATAAGCATCTCACAAAAAGAAACTATCAGACTGAAAATTCCTAGTGAGGACCTTATATAGGGTTGAGCTCAACACACAGCGGAAATTTGTCTCTCATTGCCCAATCAGATTTGTGTCAAAACCAAGTAACGTTTTAGATCCAACTTTCTTTCCTTCCGTAGAGTGAGGATAAGAGAAACAGAGGCACAGGCAGAGAGAAAATATGTGTTTGGATTTCCCAAAAAAAGGGGAAATGACTGCTAAATATATGACTAATTTCCCTCTTTTCTGACGAATGGTAGCTTGCATACACTCATGTCTTCACATGACTATTTCACACACTACCTCAAGTAAAAAATTTCATGGGTAACAAAAGGTGCACTGCAGCATAGTCAGCAGCTAAATAATTGCAGTCTTCACATTTTGTGGTTTATCAAGCTGTTCATAAATCTTCTGTGATTTCCCAGATCCCTGGTGAATCACAAATGTGCTGATTCCCTTTTCTTCTCATAACATCCATTTTAGTGTGACAGCCTGCATTAAGGCTCTCTTGCAATGTGGTATAAAGAAGTAACAGCTAGAAGCAAATTATGGTTTCCAGGCTCATGGGGAGGAGTAAGAAAAGCACTATGAATTCTGGCAATTTTGGCCTTTTAGAAGAGGGTAATCAATTGAGGGACTGCAGTTCCCAGATAGACTAATATCCTTGGATGCATCTAAGAAGGATCAACAATTTTCAACAGCTTTCTTCAGAAGGTTTCTGCCCTAGCTTTCTTTTTATCCATAAAATATCTTGATCTCATGCAGCAGTGTGAAGACTGCTCAAGTTTCAGTTGTTCTTCAAGTTTCAGTTGTTTATCTGGAGGTGCAAAAGTTTGGTTTAGAATAACTCAGGAAGAAAGTAAAGAGAGCAAAAAATTTATATTTTTTTAGTAGATGTCTGCTGAGAAGGCCATGTCGTTTTGCGGTTAGCTATCACTGAGTATTTATAAACAGAAATGTGCAAGTCTAGCAGCTATATATATAAAGAAACTCTCTTAGGGAAGCTGGTGTCATTCTGTGGTTTCGCTCTGCTGATGATTCATTGATACAGCTCAAGATGCTGGAGCGTAGCTGTGAAATTCCTGACTTGAAGACCAGACTATTCCCCATACGTCTCACTCGTTGCTCATCTCACTAGATAGATATTTCCCACACCAGGGCTACATGCAGTTCCTTGCCACAGTTGGGTGGATTTTGCTGTTCTTGGACATGCCAATAAAAAAATCAAAATATAAAGAAATATCTAGTCTTCTGGAAGTTCCTTGCAACAGAAACTTTCAAAAGGCCTCCACAAGAAAGGTGTGTCTGTCCATTATCCCTAGTCAATGGAAGGAGAAATGGAAATTCAGGTATCATGGAATGGGGATTACACCATTTCTACAAGCGGCAGTTAATATGCCTGCTTCTTGTAGCAGCTCCCAGATTTTGCTGCTTCTCCTGGAGGAATTTACCCTGTTATAGTGGCTCTGTGGATGATAATGTTTGGCATCCAAGAACTGCAATCTCTTGGACTTCATAATTTATTCTGTTATCCAGTTTGGCTAAGCAAACTTCGTGCAATTAAAAACTGAAGTAAATTTCTCTGGTTCACATAAGAATAAGGTGACAAGGTATTAAGAAATACTGAATGTTGAAAGCTGACTGGCAAGCAGATGCAAAGTAAACCACAACTATTGCACCAACACATGTTCTTGGGTTATGGATATGAGCAAACCTGGTTTTAATAATTTATAATACCCTTGTGCACAGTTCCAAGATGAGGTCTTGAAGAACAGAGAATAGGAAAGAAATGGAACTCTTCAACTCTGAGAATCACCAAATAACTGGGACAAAAAGAGAAAAACTAAACAGAAGGATTAGCACAATGCACAACAGACTCCAAGAATACAAGAATTTGCATGCTTAGCCAGAGGAATAAGTGCTGACATACCCCAGTTGAGTATGACAAAGTGGGAGAAACAGAAGGCGATGCGCCAAGGGATCCACTTTGTCATGAGGGAGTGCTAGTTTGGCCAGAGCAGCCACGGCTGGGTTACAGATTGTCTCACCACTACAGGTTCCTGGGATTTCCAAAGACCCTTTCACTGCAATAGAAAGCAGGCACACTTGAAAAATAATTATACTCTCAAGAGCTGGAAGGGTCAGGGAGGAGGAGACCCTCAGTGTAGAAATCAACAGGATACAAGGGACAAAGTAACGTCTAGAGAGGCCCAGAGTATCTGTGCACAGGCACACAGCCATAGATTGGTGAAATTAAGAAATTATTTCTGAAAAAGTGTGATTTGCTGGATTTTATTTTACTTTTATTTAAAGTAGAAAACCATCCCTGAGCACAGCCTACTTGATATATGATGCAATGTGGAAAAGCAATGATGGAGTACTGTTTGCAAAGCTGAGTTTGTTGAAAGCAGTAAAGTGATATTGCTCTCCCTATAAACTGAACTGAGGAGGATAATCTAAACTACTAAATAGAGACACTCTAAACATCAATGCATACTAGTGTATCTCTCAAATGACAATAAAAGTAAAAAATATCTCTTACTGCTCTTCTTTCTCTTATGGATAAAACGGTGCATAGATAGACTGAATGTTGATCGGGGATATGGCTCAGTTTAGGGATCAGAGAGTAAAAGAGCCTAGGGCTCCAGGGACCCTGGGAATGGAAAAGGCATGCTAAAAGGACCATAGCAGGGCCTCAGCATAGCTGCCCCTATATCTGTCTCATCTGGGCCATCCACAGAACCATTCAGTTTGGAAAAAACCTCTAAGATTATCAAATCCAACCATTAACACAGCACCACCATCACTAAACCACATCCCCAAGTGCCACATCCACAAGCCTTTTAAATCCTTCCAGGGATGGTGATTTCACCACTTCCTTGGGCAGCATATTCCAAAGCCTGTCCATCCTTTCAGTGAAGAGATTTTTCATGATATCTAATCTAAACCTTCCCTGCTACAACTTAATTTCCTCTCATGCTGTCACTTGTTATCTGGGAGAAAAGACAAATCCCCAGCTTGCTACTTTGAGGTTCCTGCTTCTTTTCCATGCTACAGCCATCCCCCGTGCTGGGATGGAGCAAGCCCACAGCGCACAGCACCTGCCGTGCCATAGTGCAGGGCTCCAGGCAGGGCTGCAGCACCCACGGTCACTCCCACACCAGGGCTGGGAGATGGGGCTAGCTGGGAGCCAGAAATGCCGAGGAGAACAGCAAGCAGACATTTCCCACAGCTTTGGTGTCTTCTCACACCATAGGCAGTGAGTCAGCAGGGGCACTAGGGACATGCTAGGAAAAAAACTTACCTAAGACTGCTGACTAGCTTTTTCTTTTCCACCAGTTCCAAAATCATAGTGTTTGCTTGCAATCATGATCAGTCTTTTTTATATATGAAAAAACATAATGTGCTCTGTGGTCTTTCATGTGAGAAGTGTTGAGGGATTTAAAAGCACAGCAGTCATTACAAAAAGCCCACAGCAACAGCAGACAGAGGAGGAACTGTGTCCAGTTGAGGATCATGAAATCATATAGGGTTACATGAGCCAGAAGGACATGGACAAAAGAAAATTTCTAAACCACTTATGGTGCTTGGCTTAAGCAGCCAACCCAGCAAACAGGGAATTCAGAAGCAAAGAGAAAAACAGATGACAAAGATTTTTGTTCATAATTGCCTTTTTGTTGATTGAACTTAAATTTAGTAGGTAAAAAGTAACTTCATGGCTATGAAAACAGTGACAAACATATGGTCTGTGATAAAGGAAAAATTGAGGAAAAGGATTATACATTACTGTGGGTGTACCAGGAGGGTAATATTAAACATTTCTTTTTTATTACATGTTCCTGAATCAAGTATTTGTATCACCAAGAAGACGAGGTCATTTATGTAATGCTGGCAGTAAATCTTCCATTTGTCTTGGATTTACTCTCCTTCTTACACACAAGTATATTTCACACACTTGTTTTAAGAAGCAGTCATATAAAATACGCATAGGAGATCCAATTACCCAAGGTATTTGTTCTCTACTCCACTACATTAATGTGTAATTCACAATCACAGGACTTGGAGGGGGCTGGGGCAGGAGACAACACATGAAAGTGGATATGGTATAGAAACAGAGACAACAAATTTGCAGTCATGCTTGGCATTCTCTCTTTGTGCTTGTCCTGTGTGTAGTGTCACAATGACCAGCAATTCTAACTGGTATCAAGAGTTGCTTAAGAAAGAATTGAGCAAGACTTGCTCTGGATCTGTGAAATAATAGAGGAGAGATTTACAAATAAATGAATAGCAAATAATTAGATGCAACATATACTGCTTCTAAATGAAGAGGCAGGGGAAGAACCAGTGTATACAACAGCAGGAATTAGGAGAAATCAGATCAGTTCAGAAGAAATAGAACCAATCCCAACACCATTGTTCTAAAAAAGAAATACAAAAGCAACCAAGTGATGCTGCAAGACTATATGTGCTTGCAATAAAGAGCAGGTAGGCCCAGTCTATGTTTTTATCTTTTATCTGTTCAGTTGGTGGACACACACCGTGAAGCACTGAAGAAGGTCAGATTTTGTATAATTATTCAGGTTAATGAACACATTTGTTTTAATAAAAAGAGTTACCATCAGCCAAGCTTGGAGTGTTCTGTTACAACAGCTGACTACGTAACAAGAGTACAAATACACATGGGGTAACAAAACTGATCTTGGGAGGATTTCAGCCCTCAAATGTCCTTACTTATGCCCTTCTCCAGCACACAATGTTCTGTACCACGTTGAAAGGGAACTTATCATTTCAGCAACTGATTTTGTGAGGATTTTACAACAAAACTTTGTGAGGATTTTGCAACAAAACAATATTGAATGTTATTTGCTTAAATCATTTCTATCAATCACATTTTGAAAAGAAAAAGAAGATATTTTAACAATAGTAGTGCTTTGCTATGCAAATTTTCCTTAATTACAAGCTGGAAGAGTTTTCATTCAGA